TTCCCTCTCCCTCTTTACCCTCTTTCTCTTCTTCTCTCCCTCTCTGTCATAAAGGGGGATTTAAAAAAAGAGCAATTAAAAAGAAAGATATTGAGGGCCAGCAAATGGCATGGTTGTTGGGGCGCTGGACTTCCACATGGCCAATCCGTGGTTTGAGTCCCAGACTCAGTGATTTGCTTTCACACTTTTTCTCTGTCTCTGTCTCTGATAACTGTAGCAAGTTAAAATAAAAATAATAATAATAAGGGGCCAGCAGGTGGCATGGTGGTTAAGGTGCTGGACTCTCACATGGTGGATCACAGTTTGAGTCCCGGACCTGGCGGCTTGCTTTTTCACTCCCCCCATCCCTCTCTGATCAAATTAAAATAAATAAATAAATAAATAAATAAATAAATAAATAAATAAAGTTAAATAATAAAAAAATGAGAATAATAACAATTCCTATCAAATGAGATTGTTGAGCAGAATTTAAAAATTCTTACATTTTTATCTTCAGTTGTGGTAAAATATGCATGGCAGAAAATCTACCATGTGAAGGCCCCGTAGCCTAGTGATAAAGGGGGCTGGATCCCACATAGTCTATTGCGGTTCAAATCTTGGTCCCAGTAGCTTGAAAGATAACTCTGCGTGTGTGTACATTGTGCCAGTTTCTTTTTGTTTTAGGCTAACACAGGAGGCAACTACTATATTCACAGCATATGGAACTATTACTACTACCTAATTTTAGGACGAAAAAGAAACCCTGCACCCACTAGCAGCTGTTCCCCATCACCCCTTCCCAAAGTCCCTGGAAACCTCTAATTTCTCTATGAATTTGTCTATTCTGGACAATTTTGTGTAAAAGGAATCATATAGTATGTGGCCTTTTGCATTTTTCACCTAGCATAATGTTTTTAAGGTTCTATGTCATAGCATGTATCAGTACTTCATTCCTTCTTATGGCAGAATAATCTTCCACTGTATGTGTATACCACATTTTGTTTATCCATTTTGCAGCTGATGGATATTCAGGTTGTCTTCATATTTTGGCTATTATGAATAATGCTATGAACATCCATGCCCAAGTTCTAGTGTGGATGCCTGTTTCCATTTCTTTGGGGTATATCCCTAGTAGCGGAACTGCTGGGTCACTTAGTAACCATGTTTCACAGTTTGGGCAATTGCCAACTGTAGTCTACAGCTGTTAGCCCATTTAACATTGCCATTAGCAATATGTGAGGGCTCCAATTTCTCTATATACTTGTCAACACTTGTTATTGTCTTTTTATTATGGATATGAAGTGGTATCTCATTGTAGTTTTGATTTGTATTTTCCTAATGACTAATAATGATAAACATCTTACGTGCTTATTGATAATTTTTATATCTTCAAAGAACGTCTATTCATATCCTTTGCCTTTTAAAATTGCATCAGGTGGCATAATGGTTAAGATGCTGGATCTCATACAGGCAACTCTACAATTTGAGTCCTGGACTAGGCAGCTTGAAAGACACACAGGACAGGACAGGTGTGAGTGCATGTCTAAAATCCCGAGAGAAGGGACTGCGGCATGACTATATCCCCTGGGGGATCATTTCTCATTTTCTCCATCTCTCTATCTCTCTTTGTCCCTTTCCAGTGAGTGCATGCACCCCATGGCAAAATCTAAGGAAAAAATTGTATTTTTAAAAATTATTCTAAGCGTTATTTAAATATTTTGAATTCTAAATCCTTACCAGATACGTTTACAAATTTTTTCCAACTTTGTGAGTTGTCTTTTTACTTTGATGGTATCTTTTCTGTCTTGAAGGTTAGTCCTAGACTTTTTTTAATTTTTAAAAATATTATTTAATTTAATTTTATTTTTTTCTTCAATTTGACCAGAGAGAGACAGAGAGTGAGAGTGAGAAAGGAAGCCACCAGGTCTGGGACTCAACCCATGATTGTGCATATGAGAGTCCAGTACCCCAACCACCACGCCATTTGCCAGCCCCAGTCCTAGACTTTCAAAGCTTAAAGAAAACTAATAGATCAGTAATCTGATTTACCTCTTTCATTTTATGGATAAGAACGCTAAATTCCAATAAATTGAATTAGTTTCTTTAATGGCACAGTCAGAAATACTTGCTTTGTAAATTGTACTGTGATACCAAATAGGTTACAATGTAATAAGAGGCTTTAAAAAAATCACAAATGGGTGCTCATATGGTAGAACTGCAGGAGACCAGTGTCATAATGTCAGTAGCTCATTCATCTGTCCATGCCAAATGGATCGTGAGGAGGGTGATTGGGACAGTGAGGCAAAAAACTGCTAAAGTGAGAGTGATCAGGCTTGTTCCAAATCCCTATTTATTAAAGTATTTTAATAAGAGGAAAACCTACTTTGCCCATGCCTTCAGCAGAGCACAGTCAGGGATATTGTGCTTTTTATTTTTTTTATTTTTTATTTATTTATTTTTTTGGAGAGGTTTTCGCTATAGGGCGCGTGCGCTCGCCAGACAGACAGAGAGAGACATAGAGACAGAAAGCGAGAAATCACCCCCCAGGGGGGATGGTCACGCCGCAATCCCTTCTCCTCCATTCTCCTCTTGGGATCTTGGGCACGCACGCACACGCGCCCGGCGTGAGATTTAAGCCACCGGGTCTGAGACGCGAACCGCGGTCGACTACGTGGGAGTCCAGCAACATAGCCATTACGCTAACTGCTGGTTCCCAGGGATATTGTGCTTTGAAAGCTTTACCTGGGACCAACAGGTGGCGTGGTGGTTAAGGCTCTGGACACTCCCATATGGCCGACCATGGTCTGAGTCCCAGACGTGGTGGTTTGCTTTCTCACTTCCTTTCTTTCTCTGTCTCTCTCTCCAGTCAAATTAAAATAAAATGAATAAAGAAATAATTTTTTTTGAAAGCTTTACTTGTTTCACAAACGAATAATGTAAAACATGAACTGGCCAAGATCGTTTTCAAAGTTGAAAAAGTAATAGATCCAGTGGACAGGAAAACCCTGTGTGGGAACTACCTACCTGTAGAGTCCAGTCAGTTCGGAAACCACCCACCCAACCAGAACTCTAGAACTCAGTATCTCCTCAACACAGTGAAGAAGGATTAGAAGGAGTCGAAGGGAAAGACTAACATGTTTACTTTATGGGAAAGAAAATTTTCTCAGTTTTATAATAAACTACCTAGTTAATCTTGTAGTATATTATTAAATAGCTAAAATTAAATGAAAAAAAAATCACAAATGAAGCCATTAGAAAACAATTAAAATTCTTGACAATCACATGTGAACACTGTGTGGATTCAAGGCAAAAACAAGTTAAAAAATAGCTGGAAAGATAATAGCGTTCAATCACTTTATGCACAAGTAGACACGGAGGGTAGAAACTGACAAAACAATTAGGGAAATAGCTATGGGATTAGAACATGTAAATCAAAGTATTAAATGCTATTTTTAAAAGGCCTTCATTATCCGTTTTTACACTCACCTTTACTTGCAGTTTTCATCAGCTTATGTAGAGAAGCTATTCCTTTTGCTTGAAGGCAAGAATAAGAGTCAAAGTTAAACAAATTTCTGAAATTACATAAAGTAGAAAATGAGCATATAATGTATCTTACTGTTTCCCCAAATGAGTTGGAGACTGAAGAAAATGTCAGTTATATGGGATAACCATCTTAGTTTAGATTGCTTTTCTTGGTACCTTAATATATCAAACTCCAAAAGCAAATATTGAAAAGCCCTATAGAGTCAGCACTGAAATTAAAACTATTATTATCATCATCATTGGTTTTCTATATGGCGTGTATGCTCATAGGGGTGTTTCTTTAATGCACTATAGACTTCACAGGATACAATATGTTTTGGTGGCAGCTAGTGGATTAGGGTTTACATAGTGGGATGATCATCCCAGTCAAGAGAACAAGCTCTGTATCCTCAGGAACAAGCACACGACCTCAAATGTGTTCGTTCTTAGAAAATTCTTATTACAGTATAATACAGAGCAGGTCCTTCTCTCCTTGTTCCAACTTGGGAGCATTTGGCAACATATTTCTCATGTGGATGAGCAGGGGTGCGTGTGAAACATACATGTTTGATTAGAGACTGGGAGAATAGGAGAGCAATAAGGGGAAGTGGGGATGAAAATTTTAATTTTTAGAGAAGATAATCAAAGAGGGAAAAAGAAAAGATAGAAGAAGAGAAATGAGTGAGAGAAAGTAAACAGGATTGGAAAGTGGTGCTTTCTTGGCTGTGTAAATTTTTTTAAAAAAGAATTCTCTCTTCCTTCTTTCTCTTTCTTCCTTCCTTCCTTCCTTCCTCTTGTCAGTCAATCAGTAAGCATTTACTGAACACCTGCTCTGTACTCAAAAGCTAAGCCTCAGAAGAAGCAGGAACTTTGCTTATCTCTTGTTCATCAGTAAACTTTCTGCACAGTGCCTGGGATCTCAGTTCTTATTGATGAAAGTAGAGCTTATATTATGGTTCCAATATCCTTATATTCAGTAGCATGATTTTATTTAATTTTATTTTTTAAACTTAAATTTACTTATTTACATTCATTCACTATACATTACTATAACATACGAAATGAGATTTCCCATCCAGAATACACTGAATATTGGCTCAATCAAGCACAACAACATACATGTTATCATCAACAAATAATTTTTCACTTCTTGTTTCCTGTCTATTTTGCTTTATTTTTGGCCATCCTTGATTCCCTATCTCACCCTCTGCTGTGCCCCACCCTCCTCCCACATTGTCTCTGGTATTCATGGTTGCTTTCTGTGCCTTTTTCCACCCATTTTATTGATTTGCTAATGAACTTAATTAATCTAAATATTTCCAATAGCAAGCGCAGCTGATATATACATATCTATGAACACAAGTTTGACTTCAGGCATAAACCTCAATGAGTAGAATGAAAATACTATAAAGTAGCACCTAGCTGGGGCTATATAGCTTACTGCAGTCATCAAATATGCATTTTTAAAAAAAATTCAAGAAAAACATCTTTCGTGGTTTTTTTCTCCTGAAACATTTTTAAAAATTGATTAATTTTCATTCAACTCCTATCATCATCACAGCATACAAAGTGTAGTTTCCTATTCAGAATATACTGCATAGTGGCTTAATCATGCATGTTATCATCAATAATTTTCCATTTATTTATTTATTTATTTATTTATTTATTTTTAGAGTTTTTTGCTATAGGGTGCATGCACTCGCCAGAAAGACAGAGGGAGACAGAGAGACAGAAAGCGAGAAATCACTCCCCATAGGAGATGGCCACGCAGTGATCCCTCATCCTCCATTCTCCTCTCGGGATCCTGGGCATGTACGCACATGTGCCCAGTGTGAGTTTAAGCCACTGGGTCCGGGACTCGAATTGTGGTTGACTACATGAGAGTCCAATGACATAGCCATCACGCCAACTGCTGGTCCATTTTTATTTTATTTTTAAATTTCCTAGATGGCATGTGTACTCACCAGAGAAACATAGAGGGCGAGAAAGAGCATGAGAACTAGAATGAGAGAGAGAAAGGAGAAAGCATCCCCCAGAGGGGATGGCCATGCTACAGTTCTTTCTCCTACATTCTCCCCTCAAGATTTTAGGCACATATGCACACACGCCTGGTGTGTTTTTTAAGCCACTGGGTCTAGGACTTAAACTGCACAGTTGACCATGTGGGATCCAGTCACCTAATCACCATGCCACTAGCTAGCCCCAAAAGGCAAGTTTTATATTGCCTCTATTGATCAGTTTCACATTGTAGTGTTCAAATTTTCATTTGTTCTGTTCTTTTCTCTTCTTTTTTTTGAGAGGTTTTTGCTATAGGGCACATGTGCTCACCAGAAAGACAGAGACAAACAGACAGAAAGTGGGAAATCAGGCCCCCAGGGGGTTTGGTCATGCCACAATTCCTTCCCCTCCATTCTTCTCTTAGGATCTTGGGCATGCATGCACATGCTCCTGGAGTGAATTTAACCCACTGAGTTCAGGACTCGAACCATGGGAGTCCAGTGACATGGCCATTACGCCAACTGCTGGTCCTTCATTTGTTCTTTTCTATGTAAACACAGAATATAGTGTCTTATCATGGGAAACATTTTAGGAAAAAATAAATATCATAAGGAACTGGGCAAACAGAAAGTAATGAGATTATATATTAAGTTCCAAAAAGGAACTTTAGATCACTAGATATATGTATAACTAGGTAAAATTAGTAAGAAAATAGGATATATTGGGTCTTTGGGAAAGTCATGAAGCATTTTTGCATAGAAAAACATAGAAAAATATATCATGACTTTCCTAACAGCCTAATTAATACACTGTAAGTAGGAATTAAAAACTAAATGCACAAAAATTGTGTATGGATAAGGAAAAAAATTAGTCATGATAAAATGATCAATTATCTGAGGCCAGCAGGTGGCATGGGGTTTAGGGCACTGGACTGCCACATGGCTGACCATGGTTTGAGTCCTAGACCTGGTGGCTTGCTTTCTCACTTTCTCTCTCTCTCTGGTGAGTGTATGTGCCCTATAGCAAATTAAAACAAACAAACAGACAGCAATAATAATAATTAATAAAATTAGGGGATAGCAGGTGGCATGGTGGTTAAGGCACTGGACTCCCACATGGGCAACTGTGGTTCAAGTCCCGAACTGGCTTGCTTTCTTACTTTCCTTCTCTTTCTCTCTGGTGACCACCTGCGTCCTATAGCAAATTAAAAAAGTAATAATAAAATTTTTTTAATTAAATAAATAATTCTTTAAAATTTTTTTCCCCTTTTCAGGCCAGCAAGGAACACGGAGGTTAAGGCAGCTGGATCCCATGTACCAACTCTGTAGGTAAGAGTCCCAGACTGGGAGGCTTAAAAATCATGCTGGGCATATGTGTATGTGTGTCCATATATGTATAACTAGGTAAAATTAGTAAGAAAATAGGATATATTGGGTCTTTGGGAAAGTCATGAAGCATTTTTGCATAGAAAAACATAGAAAAATATATCATGACTTTCCTAACAGCCTAATTAATACACTGTAAGTAGGAATTAAAAACTAAATGCACAAAAATTGTGTATGGATAAGGAAAAAAATTAGTCATGATAAAATGATCAATTATCTGAGGCCAGCAGGTGGCATGGGGTTTAGGGCACTGGACTGCCACATGGCTGACCATGGTTTGAGTCCTAGACCTGGTGGCTTGCTTTCTCACTTTCTCTCTCTCTCTGGTGAGTGTATGTGCCCTATAGCAAATTAAAACAAACAAACAGACAGCAATAATAATAATTAATAAAATTAGGGGATAGCAGGTGGCATGGTGGTTAAGGCACTGGACTCCCACATGGGCAACTGTGGTTCAAGTCCCGAACTGGCTTGCTTTCTTACTTTCCTTCTCTTTCTCTCTGGTGACCACCTGCGTCCTATAGCAAATTAAAAAAGTAATAATAAAATTTTTTTAATTAAATAAATAATTCTTTAAAATTTTTTTCCCCTTTTCAGGCCAGCAAGGAACACGGAGGTTAAGGCAGCTGGATCCCATGTACCAACTCTGTAGGTAAGAGTCCCAGACTGGGAGGCTTAAAAATCATGCTGGGCATATGTGTATGTGTGTCCAAAATCCCAAGAGGAGAATGGAGGAGAAATGGCATGGCCATTCGCTCTGGAGAGTAATTTCTAATTTTCCCTCCCTTGCTCTATTTCTGGAGAGTACACACATCATATAACAAAAAGAAAAAAAAAATCGCTTTTACATTCTTTCATTTTCAAAATCTGGAAATTTTCTATAACGAGCATATACTACTTTCATGACCAAGAAAACACATATAAAAATAAATGTAGAGCATTGGATTGTCAATTTTATATTATATCATAAATTTTTACTCACGTCTGAACTTTTTCAGACCCTCCATTATTGAATGCACATTAATCTTCCCATTTCCTGAAAAACATTTTGATTCAGATACAGATACAGAAACAGTCATATAACTCTCAAAAATTGACAAAACTTGTGAAATCATTAAAACTACACAGTTGGCCAGAATATCTTCCGTGAGTTAGAAGAACTAGAAACATTGGTTTACTTGGGAATCTTGATTCATTTTTTTCCCTCTCAGTTGAGTATGATGGAAAGAAGGCTGAATCTTTCAGGGAAACAAATCTCTCTACCTCCTTAATGCAGTTCCTCTTTTCTGTGTGTCAAGGTATTACATTCTGTAGGTCAGGAATGGAAAGGGATATACAGAAATAAACAGATCTCAAAACTGAAAAGAGCAATATGTCGCCAAATGCTCATGAGTTGAAACAGGAAGAGAAGGACTTGCTCCATTTTATGTTCTAATGAGTATTTCCTGAGAACCACATGTGAGATGGTGTGCTTGTCACTGAGGATACAGAGTATGTTTCTCTGACTGGGATGATCTTCCCACACTTGCTCAGCCTAAAGTCTTCTCCAGGAAATCTCAATCTTGGATAAATGCTCCCTTATCGCCCTCTGCAGGTGTTCACCACATTGTATCAGAAATATTTTGTTTATGCCTATGTCTGCTATACAAGCTCTTTGACTCTACAAGGCTGTGACTCATTTATCCTGGTGTCCTTAGCAGCTGACACAGAGTGTAGCACATACATAGCATCCTCTCTTTAAAGGACTTTATGGTCTGTGGGAGATAATGTAAGTTTGCCCTAAGGAAGAGAGCAAAAAGGGATCAGTGAATGATGAAGGACAGTGATAGGAGTGTGGAGAGGAGCCGGACCAGAAAACAGGAAAAGAGTAGTTGGTACCCAAAAAGTTAATGAGAAACCCAGAAATAGACTGATTGATTTTTCTCAATAAAACTGTACATATTTATAGTATACAACATAATGTTTAAATTATTTGTTTGTTCATCCATTTAGACAGAATCTCACTCTGTTGTGATCCTCCTAGCACAGTCTTCCAAAGAACTGGGACTCCAGGTATGCCACAATGCCCAGCTCTTAGGGTGTGCTGGCCTTCCATGTGGCCTCAGCCTACTGGGCAGTAGCGTTTCTGCTGCCACTGTGGCTAGGTCTAAAA